TTCACTGATGAGTCATACATAGAAAACCAAGCAAACGTTGATGCAGATGTCTATTCTGAACTCTTTTCTTTCTACGCAGCAGCGGAACACAATAGATCCGCTTTCGAAGGAGAAATAGAGACCATTAGGATAGCACTATGGCAATTATGTTGCCTGGATACGAAATTCACCAAAGCGGTTATACTTTCGGACTCACAGTCAGCAATAAACTCAATTGGAAGCAGAGAGCCACCCAAAACAGCTGAGGTAAAGAAATGTAGAAAACTCTATCATCTGCTGAGAGAGAAAAACAAAACAGTGATCCTATAATGGATTCCTGGTCACTGTGGCATTAAAATCAATGAGCTTGTTGATGCACTTGCTAAGAAGGGGGCAACGATTTCGCAATGCATGGACCGGCCGATGTCTTTCCACACAATGAAGGCCTTAATCAAGAGAGAATTCAAGACCTCAAGGTGTAAAGAACTTAAAACTCGAATAAAGGAGAAACAGTGGACAGTGGTACTCTCCGACATAGCCAGCCAACCAACCAGTCAGCTATACTTCCTCAAATGTATTTGATGAATGCAATATGCAATGAAATATTGAAAACACTGACGATTATGGTTTACAGAATGACACTAGAGATTCATGATTTGCTTATTTGGTGAATTAGTAGGTCCTCGGTACTTCTCGTTCTATCATTTGTTGTTGATGTCTGGGTGATTCAAAAGGCCTAGGAGGATTTGTTTTATTTGGTTTGGGTCCTCAGGAATATATATCCAATCAATGTGCATTGTGAATACGTTCCACTCAGAGCGCATAATGGTAAGGAGAAGGGAGTCTTCGTAGTGTGTGCGCTAAAATGAGAAAAACTAGACCTTGGAGTCCGTGAAGCATAGTTTCGAAATGGAATGGCGAATGCAGAGACTTTTATGAAGACGCCGAAACATGTCTCTATTTGTCGACTACATTTGGTGAGATTTCGTTGTGGAGGGTAGATTTTCGGAGTAATGTCCCCTCTCTGTTATTTACTGCTTACCCAGATAGTCAGTTAATTCCATAATTCTTGTTACATATTCAACTTTATGCATTCTTAATGATATAAAACGAAACCTTAGTCAAGCTAAAACCTTTAAGTCCGTGCCCTCTGGATTTGAGTGACTGTAAAAAGCGATATAGCTTCGAATTACTATTAAATTCTAAATATTAAGAAAATTAAGCGTTCGTAGGTAGCTTTGTTCTTCTCACGCGCGCTGATTACTGAACACTTTTTCCATTTACGCCGCTTCTAATAGTTAAAATTTTAATCCTATCTTTTTCATACTTCAGATGCACATTATTTTACATTATTCTGCTTGTGAATTCAACTGAATCACTCTCTCAGTGGGCAGTTTAGTCCTTATTAACCCATGAGTAGAGAAATCAACAAGAAAATAATTGAGAATAAATAATTAAATGTTCCCTTATTTATCGAAAGTAGTCACATAATCCAATTCTTTGAATTGCAATTTTTTGAACCATTTCATTTGTTAAATGCTTATTGAGAACGTCAATAAGAGGTAATTTATTGTTGCGAACCAAGCTAAATTAGTCAATCTCTTACAGGGCAGCTGTTACTTGGAATGATACAACAAAGATTAAAATGAAAAACCTGTCTTCCGTAGCGATTATATGGAGAATGAATAACAAAACTGGGTGTTGTAAATAGCTACTCAGTACTGTAGTGCATGGTAAACAGAGATGTAAAATAAATTTTTTTATTAGTATTGTTCGAACAAAATAGAAATATGAATGCATTAGGCATTAAAATGAAAATTAATTAAGGTCTTCACATTTACAATTTTAAAAAATACAATTCCTAGTAAAATTTTATCTTTAATCCTCTGAATATAAAAGTCTATTTTAAATTGAAACTCGTTTTTTAATTCCATTCAACATTTAAGTAAACTGCCAGGCAAAGATTTTTGGAAATTCTTTTGATTTAAGGAAAAAATGAAATAAAATTGGAAGAACCACAATATTTAAGTATTAAAATAGCATTTTAGGGTAGACAGCATCGCTCAAGGTTGGAGAATATTTTACGTATCTTGAGATGTATCAATGAATTTTAAAATTTTAAGTTTTTATGTATCATTTGCTTCGGCTAATCGTTCAAAACTTTAAGAAAAAATAAACAAGCACCCAACTAGTTCACGAACAAATTAGCACATTACATGTAAACAATCATTTCTACAAATAAACACACTTAACATTATAAATCATATACAAAAAGTTTATGAGGAGCTAATTTACATAATGTTTGTTCGTCTTAATTTAATGGTACATATAGCTGTGTTTAAGTAATTAATATTTCCCTAAAGACGTTATGTTTATACAAAGCGCAATTACTACATATTCGATAAATATTTCGCTACATATCAATCTTACCATGCATAAAAATTTCATTACTAAGTTATCATTGTTATTAACTATGTTTGGTTATCCCTGTTTCTTATTGGTTCAGAAACACGTGGTAGTTTGGATTTGATTTTGGCGGCATCATTGAAACATTTTATTTTGCCTCAGTACTATGTCTGAGTCGAGTGATTCTGCCCATGCTTTGCCATTGATCCCAAATCCCATAATACACAGGCGCAATCGAACGTATTCTCAGAGTGCCAGGGCTGAACAAGCTGCCGAAGAAAATGGTGTTATTTCGAACTTTTGTCGCGAAAAGGGCCATGGTTTCATTCGTTCCGATAATGGCGAACTCTTGTTCGTTCACGTCTTTGAGTAAGCTGTGCATTATACTATTTTATTATCTTAAGTGTTGACGGGGAAGTCGTACCATTAGCTGGAGATCGTGTGAGATTTAAGAAAATTCTTATTCCTCCAAAAAACGAGAAGTATCAAGCCGTCCACGTAAGGATTGTTGATTATGTTCCCGAGAAACACCAACGTTGGCAGGAATTGCCGGTAGAGTAAATCTGCTTTTAAATGATTTTGTCCTACTGTAGCAAGTGGCTTTTGCGAGATGTACATAATGAATTTAACGTTAATATAACATTCCTCGTGTTTGTTACTTTTCGTTCATTAAATTTCTCTTAATTTTATACTAATTTTCACTTCTATTGAGTAATTTATCTGAGTTTGGTATTTGACATCTAGTACATAATTCTGGTCAATTTTTTTTGAAAACTACGCTGTTACATTATTTTTATGCTTTTTTTTCTGCACTTTAAACTGCTGCCAGTTTACTTCCATAGTTCACTTTCATGGTCTTCTTGACATAGATATAAAAAATCTGCTGCTCTTTAAATTTCCTGTTGTTTTTAACGTTCTAAAATGGTTTGAATCTTTTGAAACAATGACTATACTTGCTCAAGTATTTGATTTGTGTTAGGCTTTTCACTCCCGAATATTAGCGTAACCATTGCAGGTGTACCTTGGGTTTTGCTGGAAGGACCCTACAAATGTCTATTTCACCATACTTTTTTACATATTCGTCAGAGTATTATTTCCTTTTTGGCATTATTATTAGTATTTTCTTTGAAGTTATTTTTAATATTGCATCTCAATTCTGATCATTATGTTACTATCCGTCATGACTAAAATTCTTTCATTTTTAGCTTTTCTAGTGGTATGGTTTGTTTCCTTTGAAGTTGTCATTTCTTTGTCTGTGTTTATGCTAATCTATCGAGAAAACGTACTATATGAGCTGCCACATAATTTTATTTGCTTTGAGTTATTGTTCTTGCTAATATAGCCTTAGATTCTCTGTTAAGTCTTTCTTACACCACTTATGGCGAACCCTGCAGCAATGGTTGTGTTCTGAATAATGGACGTGTATCAGATCCTCTTGTATCTTTTCCATTTTTACCAGACCACTTTTACCAAATTATCGGCTATAAATAAATAATATCATTGG